GGCAACCCACTGCAGCAGGGGCTGCAGCCTACACTGTCGCTGGTGACTCACGGCTGCCCAGCTCCAGGTTGAGCTGTTGTTCAGCATCTTAGCTGTAGAGGGCAGTGTCACTGGCCCTCAAATGGGGGATCTGAACCAGGGCCCTCTGGCGTCCCAAGCCAGCTCTTAACCATCGCGCCACTCGGCCGGCCCCTAGGCTAAATTATTCTTAGTGGGTCATTAAAACAGGTATCTTAAGGATGAAGAATCAGAACACTAGAGGGAAAGGACTTCCGGGGCCAGTTAAGCCCTGCTATTCAAATATGCATCTGGGAGATTGTTGGAAATGCGATATATAGGGCCCTACTCCAAACCAACTGAATCAGAACCTGCAGTTTAACAAGATCCTCAGGTAATTTGAAGGCATTGTAAAATTTGAGAAGCCGCCTGAAGCCCTTGTTCTACAAATGAAAAAAGCTGAGACCCAGGCGGGTTAAGTGATTTACTAAAGGTCGTGCAATGAATTCGACTCAGATTTAGGATCCAGTTCTGACTCAAGTCCAGTGCTTCCCTCTGAACCTGGCTGCCTTCCTATGGGGCCATATTTTGTTTATCTGGTTCTAGCTTTTGAATGAAGTTGAACTTAATTCAATTTATTTAAAAAAAAGCACTTTAAATTCTGTGCTTCACTAATTTAGACGGGACTTCCTTTAATTTACAAGTGGGTGGCATTACTTAGTTTCTTAATTTTTTTTTGTTCATTAGATTTGCTCAATGGTTATATGAAGTAATTGTTTTCCACCTGATGTAAGTTTCTGGAATTAGATGTATATAAATGTGGTCTTCTTTATAAAGACAAGTATTCCATATAAGAAAAGGACCAAACATTTTCCCATTTTTTGAGTTCATTAATATGGTGTTTCTATCTGTTATTGCACTAGACACACACACTGGGCAGAATGTTTGTCATTATATGGTTGGTCACAGCTGGGTTTGTAGACTTGACCCAGGATCCATTATTTAAAAAGTACTTCCATGGTGTCAGATGGTAATGGACTTATCATGGTGATCACTTCTTTAGGTATATAAATGTTGAATAACTATGGTGTGCACCTGAAATAATATATTGTATGTTAGTTATATTTTAATAAAAATATATGTAAAAAGTAAGTACTTCCAGAATTTTGGTTGCATGTGATGATGAATTGACAATGTCCCTATGGAACGGTTTTAAAATGTCAAAATGGTTACATATATTTAACTCATATTAATAGACATTTTGGTAGGGGACTCATTCTGACTTCAGCTTTGTCTGTTGCCCCTACAATCAGGAGCTTTTTTGGTCCATTTTTTTCCAGGTGTAAAACCCCATCTTATGCCAAGGTTAGTGAGGGACATCTGAGCATTTAACTACTCCTTATACATATTTTCAAGAACTTTCAGGCCTATCCCGGATGCTTACCTTCTGAGCTACTCAGTGACCCCCAATGCCTGACTCTTTTGGGGTTGGCTTTTAGTTCTTCCTCTCTCTCAGACAATTTCCATATGTCCCCCTCTTCCATCTCCTGAAATACCGTTAACATCCTTCACCTGCTATCATCTTCTCTCCCAAGGTTGATACCTTCCTTGATGTCATTTTTGGGGGAGGTGGGTTAGAGTATAGTAAATCTGTGGTGTTTAACTGGAAGTCTTTCATTTGTAATTTAAAACATCTTTTATGTATTTTTTGTTACAAGCTCTTTCTTAACCCTAACTTTGTGTTTTGGTACATGCTCTATAGTTTAGTCCTGTCACCAGTCTTACTTGAGTTTTGACTACTGGTCTTTATGATGCACTGACTTTGGGGAAAGTTTTTTTTTTTTTTATGAATTTGAATATACTTTCTAATTCTTAACATCTTTTTTTTTAATCTTTACTAATTCCTAACCCCCCATAAACCTCTATTTTATGTTTTTCATCTTTTTAAAGCTTCCTGCATTACAAGTCTAGGTTTTTGGGGTTTTTTCCTGGCTGCTTGCTTTTCTTTCTCTCTTTTAAAGTATAAAAACATATAAAACTCAAATTTTCTGGAGTAGATAAGTTTTTTTTTTAATATCTGGTAGTAAACATTTCAATTTTGTCCCAAGAATTATTTAGGAGAGTGTTCTATAGTTTCCAAGTAATTTTTCTTTTGGGGATGCTTGTCTTATGTTTTATTTTGTAGTTTTATTACATTATTACATGGTAGTCAGTATGACTTCTACAGGTTCTACTTTTTTGAAATTCGTTGTAGTTTTCTTTATGGTCTGGGTATAATAAATTTTATAAATATTCCATGGTTAATTTGATATTAGTGATAAGTAGTGGTTTGTCTCATTTCTGTGTTATCTTTTGTTTTTCAAAAAAAAAAAAAAAAGCAAGCATGGTTAAGAGTATTTAAAAATCTCCCGGTCTCGCTTGGTTTCTTTCCTGGAGCAGCCTGAGGGCTAGGTCTTTATTACCTGGGTAGTAATGGGGCCAAGACTGAGATGAAATTCCATGCTGAAAGGTTCTCCTTACTGGGCCACTCCTGAAATTACAGACACTGAGAATGCAACACAATATCCCACCAGCCTCTGGTAGGAATTCTTGTTTGATCTTGGGCCATATATCACCATCTGGTAGATTTGGGAGTTTCAGGAATTTTAGCCCCAAACATTTTTGCTGCTTATTTAAATAACTGGGATCTGGCCATCTTGCTGGGACCTGGCTGTCATCTCACTGGCATTTTAAACACCTTCACTTTTTCCCTGAAAGGAAATGGGCAGGATAATAGATGAGTCCTTCCCTCCATTCGCTTTTTGAGTTGTAGCAAGTAGGACTGCAGGTTCATTTATCCAGTCGGTCAATACAAATAGATTGAATGTTTATACTGTAAAAATAATAGCCTATGGACAAATGACATAATTCCTGTCCTTGAGAATCTCATTCCTTATACCAAACTGGGAAGACAGAGCTGGAATAGAATATAATCAGGCTAACATGGTTGATGTGGCAATGTATAAGTGTTAGGGAAGCACAGAGGAAGATACATGTAATTTTCTTCAAGAACGGAGGCATGGGGAAGGCCTCCGGAGAATGTGACATTTACATTGGGTCTTGAAGTAGGAATAGGTGCTAGCTGGACAGAGAAGGAGGGATAGGCATGCTAGTTGAAGGGAACATTGTGCCTATGGCTTGAAGTATGACAGTGGATAGCATGTATGGGAAAGAGTAGTCAGCCTCCTGCCCAGAGACTCCCAGTGTGTGGTTTGGGTTTGGGAACAGACAAGTTGGAGGAGTTATCGTAGGGTTATACAGTTAAGAGCACTGACTGCCAGGTAGAGGAATTTGCACTCTATTCTGTAGGCAATGAGTACTCATTGGAAGTTTTTCTTTAAAGATTTTATTGGGGAATTGGGGGAGGGGAACAGCGTTGGGGAATCGGGGAAGGGGAACAGACAAGTTGCTGTCCTTTTTTGTTCTTCAGTCTAGTTGTGGAGGACGTCGCTTCACTGGCCCATGTTGGTATTATCATTGCGCTTTTCCCGGGTGAGGCAGATCGGTCGCCGGCCACTGGACGGCCACTCATGGTGGCTGTTGGCAGCTCATGCCGGCTGCCGGCCGCTCGTGGTAGCTTACGGGAGCCCACTGCAGCTCCACTGCAGCCTATGCCATCGCTGGCGACTCACGGCAGCCCAGCTCCAGGTCCAGCTGTTGTTCACCATCTTAGCTGTAGAGGGTGCAGCGTCACTGGCCCTTAGGTGGGATCTGAACTGGGGCCCTGCTGCTCAGAGCTGGCATCCCAAGCCAACTCTTAACCAACGCACCACTCGGCTGGCCCTCATTATAAGTTTTTAAGGATGGGGTCAGATCCTTTTTTAAAATTTTGTATTTATTTTTTACTTTTCAAGGATCAGATCCTTTTTAACTTTGGTATTTAAATTTTGGTTCTCCATTGTAAATGTTTACTACCCAAAATATGATTAATCTAAAATAGGTGATTGAATTTTTTCTTTTCCTGAAATATGCATTTTATGATTCAGGTTTAGATGTCTGTGCCACTTGCCACGAACATGCCACCTGCAAGCAAAGAGAAGGGAAGGAGATGTGTATTTGCAAATATGGATTTGTGGGCAACGGGAGGATTAAGTGTGTCGGTAAGTTATGAATCCTGGGTTAAGATGAAAAGTTGAACCAAGAAATAAGATTCTCTAGTGTCAAAGAGTTGAATGTCCTTGTGGGGGGAAACATTGTTATTTTGTTCACATGTTTTTAATACAAGAACTTTTGTCAATTATAATAAGTCTTTGTTTTAGTGTTTGGACACATCCTTTCTTTAGCATTTCCAAGGAAATATCCCTCACGTTAGAGGTCATTGAACTTGAATCTCTGGAAACTCTCTGGTCTAACACAAATTTGAAATCTGTTTCAAATCTTGAGTTTAACTTAACAACTCAAGTGAATATTGCCTTTCTTAATTTCTCTGGTTCTTTTGGTATAAAACTATTTACGTTCATACCATGAGAAAAAAACAAAACTCAATTGCCTATTAGATTTTTAAGGCTACTTGATGAAATACTTTGCTTTGAGTCTTAATGCCTACCAGAATCCATTTTCCAAAATTTTTTTTTTTTTTTGTAGTTGAGAGTTTTGGGGTGACTTAAAAAAATACCAAGACCTCCAGGTTAGAAACAGCTGAGATTATTTTTTGCCTCATGGAATCCACCATGCCACGAGAGTCAGACAAAATCCAGGTTCAGGCCCAATGCAGAGCGAGGGAGAGTTTCACAGCAACTTCATAAGAGTGAATGTACTATAACCAGTTTCCTCCCAGCAGCTTTGTTATGTGCAGTGAAAATATTGATGGTTTTGCCTTGAGGTTCTGGATTGACAGTGTATACAACTTTGTTGTGATATCTTTGTTTTTTTTCTCCCTTAAAAAAACAACAACTCAGGTTTGAGTTCATAATGTCACATTCTTCTTCGCAGATACAAGCTTTCACACACCACTGACGATTCCTGCAGGCTGGAGGGGTGCTTTCTTTGACCGCCTCTCTCTAGGACCCTGCCCATGAGAATTGTGGTTGTGGGGGTCCTGCAGCCTGAGGCTCCTGAGGGAATTTCTCCTACCTCCTCCTTCCCCACCACTTGCTAGCAGGGGCTTGGAAACAAAGTTGGCCTTGAGGAGCTTGGATTATCCTTTTCTGCTCCCTCCCCTAATGAGGTCCTGCTCCCAGGAAGGCTTCCTGCCCCCTTGATCGCTCTTTGACTTCCGAGCAACAGAAACTTCTCCTAATGGAAGTAGAGGGCTTTATTAATCGATGTGGTGCTTGCTCCCAAACATTAGACACTGCATATGTGGGTACGTGGCCTGCTGAAACTGTGCTGCACGTTACAGGTGAGGTTATGCCTATGCCAGAGGTTGAGAACATGGTATTAAGCCAAGAGACCTAAGAATTCCAGTCTCCAACAAACGCAAATGTCCCTTCTGGTGAAGCCTGCAGGGGAGATAGGCCTCAGAAACAATGGCGGGAATGGCAAAGGTGGGGAATAGCCCAGTTTCTGGACGGCTGGGCTGTGGCTGAAACCTGCATGCAGCGCTTGGTAAGTGGGACTGGACACTTGGCCACGGCTCGAGGGACCCGTGCTGCCTCTCTCAGTGCTCGTGCAGATCTTAACCACAGGCAGTTTTAACGATGAATCACGCTCCAGGTTCAGTTAAATTTTAACAAAAGTAATGCAAGAAAAATGGGGGGAAAAAACAACAGTTGTTTTTTTTTTTTGAGTTAGCAGGAATTGAGTGCAATGGTGAGAGGCAGTGGATTTGCTTTGAGGGAACCACTGCTATAATAAAATGAACAAACAGAAAAACTCCAGTTCGTAAGTTGATGATCTCCCTCCTGCCGTTCCTCCTCCCTTCCAAAGAAAACAATAGCTGGAAAGATCAGCTCTAAAAGGAAGCTTCATAAGAAATTGGTCACAGGAGTTTCCTCTGATGGTGGCGGTTAGGGCAGAATCAGCAAACTTTGACCTGAGGGCCAGATTTGGCTGTGGCCTGTTTTTGTAAATAGAGTTTTATTAGAACACAGCTCCGCTCATTTGTTTGCCTATTGTCTATGGTTGCCTTCAGGCTCCAAAAGCATGGCTGAGCAGCTGTAACCAGAGACCTATGACTGGCCCTTTACAGCCAAAGTTTGCTAACCCCCTTGGCAAAAGCACAGAGACGGGAGGTTTACTTTCATTTTGTATCTAAGTCAAATTACTGAATTAAAAATACTTCACGCAGGCTTTTGTGGACTCATCAAGCATCCCATGTTCCAGCTCCGCCTCCCTGGGTGACTAATATTATTCACATGGGTCATTGACGGTTAGCAGGAGCTGTTCCTGCCACAGTATTAGCCTTGCTCCCGGATGAGGCTTAAGCACTAATTCCATTGTGTTTCCTGGTAACTCAGAAGTAACAAATTTTCCAGTTAATCACTGGATGTAAAAATCGTCCGACTCTGGCTTTCATGAAAAAGCAAAAAGAATGGCTGAGCTGGAAAAGTGGGGCTCTGCTGGGTTTGTTTCCCCAGGCCTGTGACACGACCTTTTTAAGTGTGGAAAAGTTCAAAATGAATCCCCTTCTCCCAGATGGGGTTGCCTGGTGGCGATGTCGGATTTCTCTTGTGGTTTCATACACACTTAGGGCGTGACGACAAGGGGCCCATGTCCTGTAGTCTGAGAAGCACAGTAACGGGAAAAGAGGCCGGGGAAACATGTCATTAAGCTGTTGTCACAGAATATTGATTCCCAAGTCCATGGCACAGAACAGTCTGGGGTGCTGAACATGGAATGGACTGATAGCCCTTCCTGTGTGTTGTCTCAATGTATCAACAGATAAAAATGAGTGCCAGTTGGGGGCCAGCGTGGTCTGTGGGAAGCACACATCTTGTCACAACACGCCCGGAGGCTTTTATTGCATTTGCCTGGAAGGATATCGAGCCACAAACAACAACGAGACGTTCATTCCCAATGATGGCACCTTTTGCACAGGTACTCGCAGAGGGGGCTGCCGTGATGGCAGCTTGGTGATGGTAGGATGGTATGTGGGGTGTGGTGGAGGGAGAGGGCAGGGCTGGGACAGGGTGTGGTGTAAGGGAGGGACTCCCGGAAGAATGTGAGGGAGATGTGGACGTGGAGTGAGTATGAGTTAATATTAGGGCATTATTGTTAATTTTGTTCGATGAGATAACAGCATTGTGGTACTTAGGATACTATTCTTACTTTGGGAGATGCATGCTGACTTTTGTAAGGGTGTTATTATGAAGCATCAGGAAGCATCTAGTGTTACTATATCTGTAAGGTACTTTTATTTTTTCTGTAAGTTACTTTAAATGGCAAAATGTGAACAATTGTTGAGTCTTGAGGGGTAGGTCTATGAGAGTTTGCTGTAATATCCTTTTCCTTTTTCTGGGTGTTTGAATAATTTTATAACAAACAAGGAGGGACTTTCAGAGATGGTGTGCCATCTGCAGGTTCCTGTTACCCCATGTAGGGTGTTCTTGGGGTGATTCTGGTACATACTGGTCCTGAGCACACTGCCCACTCCGGGCACAGGCGGTGGGCACCGTGATCTTGGCTCCTGGGAGATCAGGGTGCTGGTCCTGGTCGGGATGTGGGTTCACCTGCCACAGGAATACACGGAGTTAGGAGTGCAACTTTTTGGACCTCAGTAGCTTTGATGGTCAGATTTCTGGGCAAGTGTCGATTGAATACAAAACCCTTCTAATTTTCATTGGCCCCTGCATTATCTGAACTATACTTACAGCATGTCATGATAATAGAGCTCTTTGGTTTTCTAAGAAAAATCTTTGAATAGCAATAAAGAGGAAAGGCAGGAAAAGACTGCTGGTTCTAAGATAGTTTTGCAGAGGCTTCATGACTCTGCTTAAAAGCTCGGCAATATTTAAAGGTTTTCGGGGAAAAGAAAGAGAGAGGAGAACATGGTTTATCTTTTTACCCATCAAGAGCTACAGATTCTGATGTTCTGATTCATTCTCCTTCTTGACCTGTACAGATCCCTCAAAGGGTATATTTGATTTATTCTTGGCATGAATGAACACATTCCCTCAGAGGAGACATTTTATAATATCCTGTTGTTTTACGTAGCAAATTACTTGCTACATGATTGCAGAAGTGCAGTGTTACAGAATTAAATGAGGTGCGTTTATTTGTTTTTGTTTTTTTAAAGATAGTAATTTAAAAAAAACTTACAAGATGATGATCTGATGCTCAGTTCATTCAATATACATTTCTCATGCTCTTCTACGTGCCAAGACTGTGCAGTGGGAGGTGATGCAGACAGCTAATTTCGAAACCAAGTGTGAGTGATAGATAAGCAAAGGGCACTTACCAGAATCCAGAACCCACAGGGGCACTTATCTTGGAAATGGGCGAGGGATTGGGGAACTTTCCAGAGGACATACCTGAAATTATGTTTTTAAGGCTCTGGGAGTTTGCCAGGGAAAACTTTTATAACTATCTATCACTGTAGTTCCCAAGGAGGCATGCCACTTTTTAAAAGATAGGACAAATAATAAGAAGAAAGAAATATTTTATGCAAGGGTTAAGTAGATATCAGCTTAATTAGAACCAATCTTCCTGGAACAACATCCTGACCTAGGATCTGCTTCTATTTATTCTA